GGGGGGAGTTGCTCTCCTCACGTGTGGACATGTAATCAAGATGACACTGTGTACAATATTTACTTTTAATATTTTACCAAGAAAATGTTCCGTAGTGAGTATCGAGGACTCGTCACGAACGCTGTAAACTAAAATGTCATTTGTCATCGACCTGACATAACGCAATTTTTGTAACATGTGCGAGTACTCTCAGGACGGTCTAGAAAACAAAAAGCCACCCAAAAAAATCTAAATAAAAATGTATGTGCCATGGATGATTAAAAATTCCACCATGTTTCTGTTTTCTATCGACAAAACCAAGCTCGGTGTTTAATTTGGCAATAACCAATTCACAAAACGATGATGTCCTATATAATCATAATGAATATAAAGAGGACACAGCGGGGTAAATGTTAATACCACCGAATTGGAATCTTTCTTTTTATATCCCAGAAAATGAAGGATACAACATCACGAAAAGAAAATATATCTGAGGGAGAAACCATGGAATTTTATGAAAATAAAAGTCATGGGCGAGAATTTCGTAACAAAGAGGGTGCCTTTAGACTAGGAAATTATATATATTTCGATAGAGCGGTATGCAAGGGTTCACATTACATCCCTTCATCTTCTATTACCTGGTGTCATATTTCAGTCTAACTGCGTCGACTTTCTCACTCTGTAATTATTTTGACAACCACAATTAGTTGAAGACCACCCTACATGTATCTAGCAAGGCACAGTGTTTAGAATTTCTTCCATCCTCCTTTTCTTAAATATTCCGGTAAGAATTTTCAAATTCTGTCATAAATTTTTAGTTGATTTTTCATTTTTATTTATCACCCTTCTCAGTAAAAACATAGACGCTGAAAATCCATCATGTTTTCGTCGGCGTTAGTATGTGAGTGGTTCAGATATTGAAAAAACGCACTACAAATGCCGATTAAATATTTATGATAGAAAATTATTCTAAAGAGGGAAAGTATGTCACAATTTCAACTGAATCCAGCTGTCGTTATTTGTTAAAAACGCTTTGCTTTCTGCCTTGGCGAAGGTCTGGTCACGTCATAGCGTCAATTTTATCATAAATTATGGATTATAATCATGTATTAATTTTTATTTATGACTGATTAAAGAACACCCAGTGTGATGACTACATAGTCAGTCACTCCACTGAGATAAAGAGATAAAGTCAGCATTGAAACATTTGATAAAATGACCAAAGGCTAGTCCATGTATGATAACGGCACCTTCTTCGTTGCGATTAGGAATTTCGCTTTATTTTTAGAAGCAGTGCTGTTATGGCCCGGAAGCAAAACCCTCGGCGACATCGCTACCGCCCTGTTTAATAAAGGACCGGTCAGCTTTAGTCACGAATTGTCTGTGACCCCTTGATTCCCTTCATAAAGGTATCGTTTGACAAACAAGTCTTTATCAAGATTAAGTCACGTCACGGGGGCCAGTTAACTATTCTTAGATTACCCACGTCACGAGTAAAGGGCTATTTCCTCGACCGCTGCTGTATATAAATCTCCGGTGGATGGATAACCACTCAATTCAGCTCTTATCGTCATCAAGCGATATCATCTTTTGTGTTGTTTGTCAGTAATAGGTACTTTTTAAATTATTTTTCTGGTTGTACCGTTAAATCTACCGAAAGCAACAAGATGGTGTGGGTTTCCAGCAAAGTTATTTTTGTGCTGTCTATTTTTCTGTTTCAAAACACGTTAGCAGTGGTAAGTACCTAATAATTTTGCCAATGAAGCGCCACATTGACAAGTTTTGATTGAAATTTTCATATAGATTGAGGGATGTTAATCGTGAATATTTAGATGTAAAATCTGAAGCAATGAAACAGTTTAACTATTGGAAGTTTGGTACCATATGCCTAAGTTGAAGGGAAAAGTCAATATCAATATTTTCAGCAGCAAGTACTATATGTAATTTGTAACGATTCCTAGATTACATCTAAAAATCCACTGTATGACAACGCAGAAAATATTATCAAATTATAGCATTAATTTATCACTTTTTATTGTTTTTCTTTTCATCATAGACGCAAGGCAGAACGTGCGCGGTAAGTCAATTTTTTCTTTCTTATAGATGTGCCATTACAGCAGATATGATTAAAAAAACAGATTTGATTCAATAAGCGGACGTAAACATTGAAATTGTCTTTACATACCTTTAGATTCCAAATTAATTGTTGATTCCTCTGAGGCGGTTATCTTCTTCAGCCAATTGAAAGCAGTGTTATGTGTTGATATGATCATGCATGTATCATGTATTCGTGATAGGACATACTTCTTAACATACTTCTCTCTCCTGCAACATATTCGTCTGCATCAATATGACCGGTAGACTCGTTATCTAAAAATAATAATTTACAAAAATAAACTAAGAGAGAAAATGTTTAGATTTTAGTTATTTATTTAAGTTTTTCAGCGCCTAATCTTTCGGTATATACATGTACATATTCAATAAAACATGCCCGAGTCCCAAATAAGGCTGCCTCTGAAAAATTGCATGACTGGTAGACTTGTCAACTAAAACAAAACTTTACAAGATGACACTCGAAGGGGAAATGTTTTATTTATTCCTAAACTGTTGCGGCGCCAAAACTTTAAAATGTGTGAAATAAAACATGCCCGAGACCCAAATTAAGGTGTCTGTGAGACACACAGAATTGCTTTACAACAACATTGTTATAGGTATAATGTCCATAGTACTTCCTACAGGTCATCTGATTATTAGTTAATTGTACCCAGCATGCAAGGGGTGATGTCGGGCACTGCACCATCGCATATTTGTAGAACATTCCAAAGAGGCTATGATCGTCACGACCGATTTTCTGCACGTCACGGCCGATTTTCTGCACGACACTGATTCAGTGTCTGCAAGGGAGAAAATAATCTCCATTTCAGCGGGGAAATAAATGTGTTTAAATCATTTAGAAGTGGAATCAATATTTTTGAAATTATTTACGAGGAAAAAAATAAATTTCATCAGCATTTGATGTAAACATTGACAGTTACGTGATTTATAATAGTTACATATCCAAAAAAGGAATATTTTTTCGATGATTCGATTATTTCAGTTCATAAATATTGCATTTTTCTACCAGGATATCACTTGTCCGGATGGCTCAGTATGTCGCCAGGATACCATAGCGTGTGTCACTGACCCCTGCCCACAGCCTGAACCTGAGTGTGTCGGTGAGTTTTTTTATGTCTTAAATACCTGATGTGACATTTACTGTGTTATCAATAATGAAAAAAATGCAGAGATGCGGATCAACATGGGGCAATTATATAATACGCTTACGTTTCTCGTCGCCATTCATTGTGAATTTTTCGGTAAATGGGATTTTGGCGGGGAAACACAATGAAATAGAATAGCCTGGTACATAAGGCCCCAAAAAGGCTGTTGAACAAACCCCACCTTGCTAATACAAAAAATAATCCAAATCTTATGGAAATATTTTGAAGTCACCCTCTCTGGATGACCCTGCTGGTTCCGTACGCGTGACAGTGAAATAAACTGAAAATTAAAATCAATAATATTTCATTTTTCAGTCCAAGTTGCAGGCAAGCCAGAAGTAAGCATTCAAGAAACACCGAAAGGTAGATATATTTATAACATATTTGACGTTTATCATATGACGGTATATCTTAGGCCTGCGATAAATGCACTTGTATTTTATGGAAGCTCCGTTTTTTTTTATTATTTTGAGACAACCTCGGCATTTGCATTTTCATTAATATGCCACATATCAGTTGATATGCACATAAACCTTAGATAGAGTAGCTGTTTATTTCCCCGTTGGTGACTACAAACAATGTACGATAGTATTTTATGCACTTCAGATAGAGTGAGTTAGAGCGAGTCCATTGTGATTTTATACTGTTTACTCACTGGCAGACAATTCACGCTATTTCAGATGTGTGCAGTGAGCCGAAGGTGGTCGGCGTGTGCAGGATGTCTATCCCAAGGTTTTATTTCAATGCTGAAGCTAATGCCTGTGAGTCGTTTAAATATGGCGGCTGTGGCGAGAACGGAAACAACTTCCTGACGCTTCAAGATTGCCAGAACGCTTGTCCGGGTTCCCCTGCGGTGGCTGTCCAACAGATCCAAGAAAGAGAGGCTACTTCTTGCAAGGTGACTGTCAATGTTTTTTTAGTCCTGATGAATCCTTCTCTATATTTAGAATATACAAGACACGTTTTATCATTGGTCATGTCACATATATGACTTTCACGTTCTTTTAAAACCTGAAAAAAAAACGTACCTACCTCAAGTAAGATACACCATTTTGGTATTAGCACATGGAGCTCAGTTTTGATCTCTTCAATCCATTTATTATTTATTTCATTACAAAAACAATATTGTCAGTAGAAAACGGTGATTATTTCAAGTACCCTTTTATATATTAGGAGATGGAATGTCCGGCCGGTACCCAATGCCAACAGGAGACAATGGTTTGCATCACCAGTCCCTGTCCACAGCCCAAACCACAATGTGTTGGTAGGTTCTAAAATTAAAATTGTCTCAAACTATTTTATACAGAGTTGCTGCTTCAAAACAAAATCTGATGGTTAACGTTTCGACTTGCGCCAAGAAAATCGAAACATATTGTAGAGAATTTACCAGTACAAAGGAACTATGCCTGTATGCCTGTTCTGTTTCGTTCTGTTTGGCTTGGCAATTGTAACCATATCCAAAGTTATAAACAATAGCCATTGACAGAGGGAAAGAGACGGAGAGAAAACGATGTAAAAACTATCCAACAGTAAATAGTGATTTTTACATTTTACATTTTTTACAGCTGTGCCAGCAAACGGAGGCGAAGCAGGCACCCCCGGGTCTGCACAGGGTATGTTAGATAATTTTTACAACCAACAGATTTTATAAATTACACGTCAAGATTTATCTTTTTTTTTTTTTGAAAGCGTAATGGTATTTGCATTTCACTTACATTCAAAATTGATATCGAAATATAATATTGTAAGCGATCTTGAAATTTTAATTTTTTTTAATTACACATCATTATACTAGAATTTATTCTACTAGAAAATATATCGTGGAAAGGGTCAGTGTAGAGAGATGAGAAGTTATTATCAAGAATATTGCAACTTTCAAAATAAGATTTTTATTCCGTTTGAGAAAGCTTTGCTCAAAACGGTTGAAAAGATAGCCAAGTGCTAAAGGCCGTTGAAGTTGCTCTTTGAAGAAAAAATAATTGTTGTTAAATTGGATTTCAAACCGACTGAGTTAGTTTTTTTTTTTTTTTTTTTTTTTTTTTTTGTCACATTACCTACAGGTATCATAACCTCATGTTCAAACAAAATTTACCTCGGCTATCGTATACATGTGCAATACCTTGAATTAAAACTGATTTTTAAAATATATTTTCAGACGTTTGTCGAGAGCCGAAAGTAGTGGGTCATTGTAAAGGTTCACATACAAGATATTTTTTCAACTCGGAGTCAAACTCGTGTGAGGAATTCACCTACGGTGGTTGCGGAGGAAACGGAAACAATTTTGGATCACTTCAGCAGTGCCAAAGCGCATGCCCAGTGTCATCTGAAGAGGTCACTCAGCAGAGCCAGGAGGTGAATCGTAAGTATATATTTTATCTCTTCTCACTTTCACGGTGTAACCTTTCACTGTGAAGAGACAATTCGTAGGATGGGGAATTATGGGGTTCTTTTTAGTTATATTTATTCTAATATATGTCACAGATTTTATTTGACCAACTATTACCTCATTGGAACTTGTTCTGACGGCCTGGGATCTTTTTAGACAATCACTGCATCTTGCTTGGTTCTGGGCCCAGTCAACTTTACCGATCAAAGTTTAAATTATTAGGTCAAATTTCATGGACCTGCAATTGATTCCAATTTTGTATTTCACTCAGTCAAACTCTCATTTATTTCAATCTTTCAGCACTTTGTCCAGTTCCCAGACAAGTCTTCAGAGTATGTGGCTCCCCGTGCCCGCCCACGTGCTCCAACCTCAACCCAGTGTGTATGATGGCGTGTTCGACAGGGTGTGAATGCCCGCGCAGCGCCCCAGTGCTTCACGAGGGGAGGTGTATAGCCGCCGAGGAGTGTCCACAAACAGGTAAAATACGCAGAAATGAGGTTTCAATGGCCCATTGAAGAGCCCACCCCGTCTTTTAATATCGGTGCAGATTGTATTGACTATTAGCGCCACCAATTGGAAAGATTTGGAATTAAAGTTGTCGCGTATAGGTCTACATATATTATAAAAGTCATGAAGCGAACCAATTGCTTTCAACTTCAGCATGTAAAGAGGCCTATAAATTGCGTTTTTATTTGTATTAAATGGATCTTAATGAAGACAAATGTACTGATATAAAGTAGATATAGAAAAAAATTAAAATGAAATGCATTGATCATAGTTTCACAGCTTTAAAAATCCAATTCAATTAAAACTAGAAAAGCACTCAGAGAGCGCAGACCTCCGCCAAGGCAGCAAAGTCTCCATCCAATGCCGTTTCACCCCTAAAATTTCGATATTTTTTTTATTATTGATTGATTTTGATCCGGATCACCACCAAAAACTAATCATCTCTTCCTTTGCCCACTTCTGACAAAATCGGTCCATAACTTTTTGAGTTATGTTGATGACAGACGGACAAACAAACAAACAGGGGTGAAAACATATAACCCCCTTGGCGGAGGAAATTATCAGAACGCTGCCAACCATCACGTGTATACGATCTGTGCTACCCTGAAGACTAAATGTCAAACATAGTGAAATATGTGACGCGTGAAATAGACCGGTCATTGTCACTTAGTTCTGAATTCCTTTTTTTCATTGCAGGTGCGAAACCATCAACCCTTGCATTTTTATTCCGCTGCTTCAACCGCCAATTCTACACCGATCCTGTGACTGGTAGAATAACATGCTAGAACGTTATATCACTCCATATCTCAACATACTGTTTATTGAGCTACATCCCAAAGCACAGCCATCTATATCTCCCATGTTAAAAGTTCTGACTTTTTAATTTATTGCAGTGTATATTTTGTCTTTGTTGTGTAACTTGTATGTGAGAGCAGATGTAACTTTACCAGTAGGACTTGCATGTGCTGAGGCACGTATTTGTATAGTATATTTTCTTGTAGTTTCGTATATGTACATACAAAAAAAGTATATTTTTCTGTTGGGTGTCCATTGAATGTATAGTTACCAATGTTGTACAGTAACAAATGCGTTGTACTAGTATTTAAGCTCAGTTAAATATCACCACGTGATAATGAATTCAAAAGTTAATGTTACCTTATATAATTAGACGAATACGGAATGATGTCACGTACATGTATTTATTGCAAATCACAATCAAATTACATGTATAAACAAATGAATTGATAGAAGAGATAGAAGAAATGTATGCATTTATTGTTCATCATTGTATTGTTTTCTTGTAAATCACTTTTATCTTATAAGAAAATAAACATTGTCCAAATGATATGCTGCTTTTGTTGCAATATCCGCATAAGTGATTGTTTGTTGTATATTAAATAGAAACAATGATATATATCTATAGACCACATCACGTATCAAATTTTGAAATTCTTGCACAGGCCCCGAAAGCCTATATATAGTACCTCACCTTGTCGGAGTTGTTGCTGAATCAAAGTTTGCGATCTTTGTGACCAAAACCTTGATGTATGCACACGTTTACAGAAAATCATAACTGTTTGTTGGTTTATGTAATTCGACTGTAGTTTATTTAAAAGTCCATGATTCAAGGCACATAGCGGAAAGCGCTCGCGCGTGTTGTTGGTACATTTTGAGCCCATTATATGACACGCTTGACTTATTCGCTCTGCATTGACATATATCTCGAATTGCACCATAGATATAAATTTATTCAATTATAGATATACATTTAAGAACCTACAGATATGACATGCGTTTGCTGCAACTGCTGTTGGTGATCAGCACACTTCAAACGGTCTATTTACAGCCTTAAATAAACACTTTGAAACAGATGTATGTAAGCGTTTACTGCACATTTATAAAGACACGATTAATTTTTTTAATGTAACAAAGGATTTCAGTACAAAGGAACATCAAACAGTTTAAAGATTAAAATAGAATTACAGTTTTGTGTGCTGTGTATACAGGTCGCAACAAATACTTCCAATTGCTTTGCAAAAATATATTGAACAAAATTTTTAAAATTCATGTCTCACTGGAAAGATGCCTAACATGAAATATAAACTAATATGACATAAACTAATATATAAAATCCTATCTTGTGTATGGAATGTTTAAAAGACACAGAAACACTTGGACATGTTTAAAATTATTACGTGCACGTATTAGAATGAGTGAGTAATATTAGTTCCCCCTTCAACTTGCTCTCATAATTAAAGCTGGAACACTTCAAACCAGTTTGGATCTTTTTGTTCACAGAAATTATTTTGATGTCATTTCTATACAAAATTATGTTACACTGTGCAAGTGTAATCCTATCATCATAAAAAATGACGCCGTATTCTGGTAAACCATGATAAATATATTCCGTGGTTTCTGCATTCATAGTGATATGGCGTAACGTAACGAATACCAGGAATGCTTTTGAGTTACCATGCAGAGATATTTAACGTCATAAAAGCGAAGACCTTTGTTAATCTTAAAAACATTGACACTGGCAGTGCACGTTTAGTTTCCGCTTCAGGAGATTTCGCCACTGCATCCGAGTGCTGGTATATAATACAGCATCAACAACATTTCGCAGATGACATCAGTATACGTATCCTACGTTGACATTCCCGCTCTATAAAGAATAAAAAGAAATTGGTAGTAGTTTGAATGGAATAATACAGTGCACCAACATATTCAAGAAACAGACATGGTATTAGGCACAAATGCACGGACGGCAAAACTTTATTTACATTTATGGAACGTGCCTTTTAGGAAAAAAGTGTCACGACAAATTGCTCTTACATTGAACTATGAGACCCTTTATGTTTATAATAAATTTTATATTTATTATCATCATTATTATATTAAAACAGTTCAATGTACTGGGTGATTCTGACGTCATACAAGATTCCAAGTCACTCGACCCTGACGTCATATCCAAATGTACCGTGTCTGGGCATTAGGATAAAATCAACAAGACCATGTTTCCCCTTAGAAATATTACGTTATCCTCACACGCTAGAGATATTGCTAATGCTATGGTAACGCAAGAAAAGAATATCACTTACAGGCGTTTCTTTCCCGTTGCGCGTTGTCAAGCCCATCTCCTCGTGATAAGGATCCGTCACGAAATTTGGATCGTACGTCACTAGGCGACGATGCTTCACGAGAGAAGGACCCCAATCCCGCTGAGGACGAATGAAAGTTTTGTCCTGCAAAATTAGAAAAACAGGTTGATTGAGGGAGGAGACGAAGGGAAGACCGGAAAATTGAGAAAAAAGTTCGCGTAAGATAACAATCTGAGAGAGTACCACTTAAAGATTATCATCAGTGCTGGTTTAACATTACCTTTTACTCAGAAAATGATACGCTAGCCAATGGCAATGATCTTAATAGAAGTAATCCATTCTTTAAAAAAAAAATAGAATAAAACAAATGCTTACTTTTGGTCTCACAATAAGACAATAGATTCCATATAAAACTGGATATATGATTATTGGCCCGACAATTGCAAACCGGACCAGCCACTGTAAAACTTCACCGAAGTAACTAGGGTTTGGTTTGTACAATATCCACGACACCACGGTCACCACCTAAAGAAGACAATAACAAATGATCATGACAATTAAGAAACGATCAGTGGGATTGACACTAGGGACTGCGACATATCCTTTTAAATATGCCTCAGGAAAAAAGGCTGGAGAGAGGGAGAATTAGAGTGACATCACTTATTTCTTTGGGAAAGCACTTCATATTTCTAGGAAACCACGCTATTTTGTAAAATTTTATTAATTTTCTTCACTCACAACTAAAAAATCATTAGCAAAGTACCACGTGTTTTGCGTTGGTTCATAATGTATTCATTTACAGTGAATTTAATCGTGTCCATGGAAAATCTGATCATGGACCTTTTGCAAACAGTCCTCCGTGATCATTTTGTCTGCGCGTCTCAAAAGAGATGTCATTTTTCTTTGGGGGGAGGGAGTAATCCGTTTAACAAACATATTGATTTCTGATTGACGCTTACTCCAAGAAGAACAGGTGCTATGAGAATCCAGCAAAGTGTCCACCAGGGGGCAGTTATCTTCAAGAGAAGACTATCTCCCAGCATAACTTTCATGTCCTCGATCGCGCGCAAAACTGGAAATGGGAGATTTCAGAATGGTCATATATTTATTCAAGCTGTATTTAAATTATACAAATAGCATATTATATATAAATAATGTGTATAATAATAATAAATGCATTTATTTATGCCTAATATGTATATTCGCACAAGCACTCGGAAGCGTGCACGGGGTTCTGCAAGTAAAAAAAAAACATTATTGAACATGTTCACATGCCTATCAATATATAGGCATGTGCAAACACACACACACACGCACACACACACACACTGTTTCGGTACTTACATATGACTTTGTACCTCGGGTAGGCCCCGTATACCCATGCCACTGCTATCAACTCGGTCAGTCCAAGAATGACCATTGGCCATCCATTGATGGCGCTGTCCACATAGTCCAGCAAATACAGGCCACCCTGAAGATGAAAGTTCATCATATGATGGATGGTCTACACGTATATAAAAAGGACTTTGATCTTGAATATTATAGGCGCATTTTCATTGAAACTATAATTTTACGTAATAAAAGCTAGTTACTGCGTATGACGTATATATTTTGTCTGTGACGTGTCTTCATGAAGGTCATTGCAGTTTATAATTCAATTTGTTGAGGGTTTCACCTTTAACACCTTCTGATATAAGGAACGGTAGATAGAATATCAATAATGAATTTTATCAGCAACCTTGACATTTTAATGACCTTGACCTCTCTCACCTTGGTACACATAGGAAGGCCAAGTCCAAAGAGAACTAAGCAAACAGCCAGATGAACCCAGACCTTGTGTTTACGTATTTTGGGATATGCATCTAACAAACCAGTGAAAATTGTTTCTAACAGGGTGAACTGAAACGGAATGGTGTAAAATTAAGACCAAATATATTTTTATACACATTCAAGACATGTGTGATGCTGACGTCGTCCAGTGAACTTAATTTTGAGAACATGTCTATTACAGTTGACTATAATTTTCAATATGATTTAGTGAAAGATGATGATGAATTTGACTTTTATAATTTGGACGTTTGTAATGATAGACAGAACGTTTAACTAAATGCTAACTATACTTTCCGGCCATTCAAAGCTACCTGACTGTCCAAGCCAAGTGTAATGAGCATGAAGAACAAAAGAATGGACCACAGGGGCGAAACAGGAATGGTAGCCACTGCTGACGGCCAAATCACGAACGCCAAACTCGGTCCTCCTTTTGCAACTTCATCGATGTCTACCCCTTGCAGCTCTGCCATGTAGCCCACGTAAGAAAACACCACGAAACCAGCAAAGAAGCTGGTCAGACAGTTGCCAAGGGATACGATGATGGCGTCCCTAGAAACAGTCGTTATTTAGTGGTGAAAGGAAGTATTAAAATCACCAAAAATATTAAGAAGCAATGACACATTTATCAACCAACAAATATTAAGAAAACTTAAAAAAATATTTGAGGTCGTTTCACTTTGACGCTAAACCAAATTACCCAAATCGTTAACTTGACCTGTAAGGTCTACTTCCATTTACTGCTTAACGATCAATTTGTTAATAAAAATTATTTACGAAGGTAAATGGGCACTGTGGAATCTACTAACCTCAGACAGTTATTGTGGAACTTATTATAACTAGAGAGTGCGTGAAGTCCACCGAAAGACGCTGACAGGGAGAAAAATATCTGTGTAATGGCATCTAGCCATACCTAAAACGAAACACGTAGCCAACTGCAGACGTCAGTTTAAAATGATATATCAAAAGAATTACAGTTTAATTTGAACTGGGTTATCATTTAAATTTTTTATTATCGTAAATGAAAATAGGTATATAAAATGAAACATGACACTTAAAGTTGTTTTTTAAGAGAGCACAGAGTGTTCATTTCACCAGTATAAAGGATAAAACCTTCAGTCTAAGTTTTGACAGACTTTGTTTAGTGCTTAATTTCCAAAATTCACAAGGAAAAATAAATAAATAAAAAAATAAATAAATAAATAAATAAATAAATAAATAAATAAATAAATAAATAAAAATAATGTGTTCGTACTTACTTCAGGAGTCCTAAGTTTACTAAGATCTGCTTTAGCGATATACCACTCCACGCCGTTAAGTGAACCCGATAACAAGGCGCCGCGAATCAAAAGAATGATCAGCACGACGTATGGGAATATGGCAGTGAAGTAAACAACCTGGACAAGAAAAAATGATCATAGTTTTAATTATCGTAATTAAATAACGACGCAGTGTTGACACGTCACATTAATACCTTTATCTAACGTTTTCATTTTCTGGTTTTTCTGTTGTCTTTTAAACTACGAACTAAAATCGTGCTTGCATTGGCAGAACATTTTAGTATGAAAATTAATCAAAAAAAAAAAAACAAAAAAAAAAAAAAAACAAAAAAGGAACTTTACTGAGTAGCTTGAAAAAAGACAAAATTTTACAAAAATTGAAAATTATTCAAAAATTAAATAATAAACAACTTATGATAATTCTTCCGCTGAATGAATATTCAGTTACCTTTCCTGATGATTTCACACTTCTAAACAAACAGAAGAAGTCGATAATCCAGGCAAGAAGGAGACACAGACTGAGCTGCCAGCTGATACCGGTCAGGTCGCTGAATGTTTCCAAGCCCGACCCCACCTGAAGCACCGTGTTACTGAATAATAAACAAAGGAAAAATAATAAATTAACAAATCCTTCGAGCTTAAAATCTATTCTTAGCAATGCAGTATGAAAGATGTCATGATTTAAGAAAGGAAAAAAGCGAAACAAAAAAAAAGATTAACATACATTTTCATATCATATATAAGCTTTGTTAAAAAGGAAATTATGAAGATGCCAAAGTTTTCAGAAAATGAAAATTCCTAATCTTTGTAATTGTAAGTAATAAATAAATACATGAATTAATAAATCATCATACTGAACGACTCTCACATAGATTTTATTTAAATCTTACAAGAAATACTCCTCCGCGGCAGAAGATCGTGTAATGTTGTATTGTTTGAGCAAGGTGTCGTTATAGACCCCCAGCAGAGTACCGTTGGCGTTGTAACACGTGCCATTGGGGTAAGCTACTTCCTGGAGAGTTGTGTTACAGCCTGAGATGTCTGGAAGCTTGGTGATACACGCTGGAATAGGAGAACACTTATGTTTGGAATTCTTAGGTCTAGGTATTATTATAGAGGCAATTATTCCATAATTGTTTTATTTTATATTAATTAATCATTAAAGCACAACAACTTTTGTTAAGCATAGTAAGGAGTTAACGTATAGGAGAGAATAATCAACAAAATGTACGTCTTCTCTATTGTCGAAAGCAGCTTGAATTTGACAAGGATGAACTATTGGCAGATGATCAAAACTAGCAGACGGCAAATGACTACCAGACTACTCATTCTCATTCTCTCTCTCTCTCTCTCTCTCTCTCTCTCTCTCTCTGATAGCAGTTACAATCTGTAAGGAGATATATTAAAATCTAACAGATGACAAATGTCAGCAATTACTTACTGTCAGACGACCAGTCTCCGCAGTCCTGCCAAGGTAGTTTACTGGTGAAGGAAGCAAATAGGTAATACAGCGCCCAAGCCATCACGATGTTGTAGTAGATACCAACCAAAGAAGAAGCTACCATCATGCCGATCCCTACGCCTGAAATTGAAATCTATCAATTTATTATATCTGATTTACTCATATTTTAAATCAAATCACTTAACTTCAAATTATTTGATAAAATGAATGTGATGAAAGTTTACAAAAATAATCAAGTTGATTTTGTTGCAGAAATTCTTTGGTCGGTGAAATAGCTTACAAAACTCAACCGACCAACTTTGCTAATGTGACGGCATAAATGATAAATTCTTAATGGCAACATTTTGCCTAAATTCATACACTCAGTAAGATCACTATCGCAATAGCTCTGTGGCGTCATAGCTTCTGTGACGTCACAAAGACCACTTACCAGTAAACATGGGTGAGAATCTCCACACTGTTAGCGGTCCACTGCTAGAGAACTGGCCAAGGTACAATTCCAGCACAAATATTGGCATCCCGATTAATAACAGGCAAATAGCGTATGGAATCAGAAACACGGCTACAGAAAATAAAATGGTAAAAATAATGTAGACATTTAAGCAAAGAAAAAGATTCACGAATGCAGGATTATTTCCAAAGGGGCAACATTTTGGCCTCAGCTGTGAAATTATGGAAAAAATGTTGGAAAAGACAGTTAAATTTTTCTTTACTGACTTGACCGTTGTGACATGGTAAATATATAAACCACTATTAGTTTAACTCATCTGAGGACTTAAAACTTTTATCATGTCCTAACGGTTTTCAAATCCCGCCATCGAGCTCAGTTCTCGCACTCTCCGGTTCTCCGGGATTGTACGCGATTCAGAATCGTGTCAATATGGTTGACAGACAACGAGCTTTCCCAAAATGTGTTGAATTTGATTTCTGGCGAATTGATTCGTGGCATTAGTCTGTTCACAGGCGACTGTCAGGAAAGGACGATCAAAGGTTTATTGGTCGGAGAAAAATTCCGTCTTCCCCAGGAAATTCCCTTCAGTACAGAGTTTTTCACAAAGAAATGTAACACATCTTTAAGCTTCCTGCTTTCAATAATGGATAATACATCATAACACCGTCGATATATGTCACTACTTACCGCCTCCGTTCTTAAAGCACAAGAAAGGGAACCGCCATAGGTTGCCAAGACCAACAGCGTAGCCAAGACAAGACAAAATGAAGTCGAACTGGTTAGACCAATTCCCGCGCTTCTTGTTTTCGTCGCCATCTGTGCTCTCTGCAATAAAAACGAATGTTGCCTCAGTTTCATGAAGTAATACACAATGTATAATGTATGTATGAATGTATGTATCACACATGCTTTAACTTATGCACCCATGCCATTTTGTTTCAACAGTTGCATTTCTCCCTCAGATAGTTTGCTGAATAACTTTCTGTGAAAACAAGACCAATCGAAATGAAATGCCCAGAATTTGAATTACCGTTGCCCCACTGACACTCAAACTAACTTAGTTTGACATCATTTTCATAGTCAATCTCTTTGATAGACTGTACATAATCTGAAATATTGAACCTTTCGTCCTCACCAGGGCTCGGTAGCATTATAAGATGAGGTGAATCTGAGTATAAATATTTGTTCGTGTTATAAAAGATAATTTGTGTTGAAGAGAAAATAGTTTTTACCTGTATCGACATCCCAACGATTGGATGACTGCAAGAAAATGAAAAAAAAATTCATCTGATTCTCTATACCTGTGCTTCACGTTCAACAATGTGCAATTAATAACACTTTTAACAGAAGTATTTATGTAGAGAATGACTGTATTTCAACTATAATTGGTATTGACAATTTTCAGTAAGTTCTGAAAACACTGAAAAATATTAAATACGGTGTTTAAATTGAATAAGTCGAATGTACTCAACTTTTCTAAAACAATGAGATTGACAAATTGGTGACCCATTTAAAAAGGAGCGTGTTTTTAATATTGAAAAGGAATGCAGAATATAATTTCTTCACAAAAAGTAATAAAAAAAACATACATTTGGTTCGATCATGACGGGGTCCGTGTAAACTTTTGGAGTGTCGCCAAGTGGCTTAAAACTCAGAGCTAAAATCTGTAAAGAAAAAAGTTAAGAAGAATAAATTATTCATGTATTTATCCAGCAGTAGCCGCCTGCCACAAGTAATCTAAGAATAACAAAACAAAAATATTGGTCAAGACGCAAACCAATCACTTATCCATTATTTGTGGGCAAGTTGATTGAAATTGCGCCTGTGTACCCCTATATCATTTGTCAAAAGAGAAAAATCACTCGCGTTCGTCTTTGCAGGTAAATAGGCCAAATGCATGGTACCACGAAAAAAGGGTACAGGTAAAAAAAAGAAGACAGAAGTCAAATGTAATTACGTGCACACAAATAATCTTCACGTTGTCTCTCTTTTGAAAGATGCAGCGCACTTTTTTGGAAAGAAGCAGCATTTTAATAAAATTTACGAAGAAATGCATCAATGAGCAACGTATGTTTGTGTGTGTGCGTATGTGCGTGCAGCAGTGCGTTTGTGTGTTCATAGAAACCCTGAGGTGTAAATGACAAATTCCCACCACGCATGATTAACAACTATCTGACAAAGTTGAGGAGTCATCAGACATACTGACCTAATTGTACACATATACAATCAAACTGCGGTAACCTGCTATTGCCATTTACACGTATAAACATACAGGTAAAATATGTTGTTGCTGTTGTTGTTGTTATGCGTCACACTAGACGCTGGCCATAAACAAGGCGTAGGGAATTTAAACCGGACAAAACTCAACAAGGACATGTACTTAAAAAGGCTCGTACATATACATACTGCAAATGACGAACACACCCATAAACTTCATTGAGATTGATAATGCCCTATTTACACGAGGTATTATCACTAGCATGCAGGCAGAAGCAGATCCCCCACCCTCTCTCTCTTTCTCTCTCTCTCTCTCTCTTTCTCTCTCTCTCTCTCTCTCTCTCTCTCTCTCTCTCTTTCTTTCTCTCTCTCTCTCTCTCTCTCTCTCTCTCTCTCTCTCCGTTTGGTGCATAGAGAAGCCTTACACAGCTTAACGCCACAAAGTAAAGTTAGAAATGAGTGAAATCAGTTCATATATTTCGAGAACATGGTTTTAAGCCATAAAATACCTGTATATACATGTACAGGTAGACACTCCATTTCAGAAAATACGCATTTCATCACTGCCTTATTTATTTGAAAAATGCCTGATGATTTGATGCTTTTGGTGAATTTAATCAACTGAAAAAATATTATTCATTCAACGAGGAAGTTACGCAGTATGGGGCCTTCTTCCAACCATAAGAGTATGTAAGCTAAAAAAAGCCATTCACTCTAAACAGAATATCAACAATTCACATTGTAGAACTCACCTTGATGGGAGCTCCAAGTCTCTATTATTGAGGACAAACAATGCAAAAAGCACAGCGTCAAAATGTCGCTTGAGTAATATAGCTTTTTTACCACAAAAAAAAACGTGTATATATTTCCATCTTTTAGCATCGTTTGTCTTCAATTAATTTGCAGTCATGTTTCTTTTTTTCATGTATGGCACTTTTTATCTAATGGCCCTTTTCCAATGAAACAATCAGTCCACGTATATCGATCCAACTTCGCATGGACTCTCGCAGTATGCAATCAGATTAACAGGCTTTAATACCCCTCCCATTGTTTCCTACGTACTTGTATAAACACTAGTTTATCTGTATCCCACTTAACGCTAGGAGGAGGCGTGTTCATTTCGTAAATTGACTGCATTCAGCAAGAGTCTCCGCGGAGTTGGATCGATCTATGTAGAGCGTTAGTTTCATTGGGACCTAGCCCACAGTCTAGACAACTGATATTTAAAGCGTTTTCAAATCACCGTTCACCAGCTGAGAGTTACGACGCATCCCCGTCTCAAATGCTACCTGCCCCACATATACTGGGTTCCCATACCTAGCTCGATCTAACAGGATCGATCTTTCTCTAAGAGGTTTCTCGCTAAATTGCTTTCAGCTTAAGCGGCTTAGAAGTCTGGCACGCCTACTGAAGCTGCTAAATGATAGTTAATAACCCCCTAGCAGCTTCAGTAGGCGTGACAGACATCCAAGTCGCTTAAGTTGATAGCAGTTTAACGAGAATCCCCTAGAAGATAGATCGATCTACAGTTAGTACGATAGGGTCTGTAAATGGTCCCCCTATATTCATCAAGGCGTTTCACTCAGGCAACCAGTAGACATTTTACATTATAAAATATATAACTACAATTTGTCCTAGAATGCGGGTCAAAGGCTATATGATTTTTAGACTTACGTTTTTCTCCGACATGATCAGCTTCGGTCTCGACGGACTTATTAATGCTTTAACAAAATCTAACTTGTTTACACCGCCGCCCGTGCTGTACGCACTAAGTCTTGATCTACACACCGTTCTTTATTTGGGTGAATGAGCAATATGAATGTTAGCCGAGCACAGGTATGGGTCCGCTTTTACAGTGAACAAAAGTCGATGAAATTAGACCCTATTTTATATTGTTCACGGCATATCCAATCCCAGTATGACAACTGCAATAAATGCTCGCTGGACATTTAAACCACTACAAACAGTTTTTTTCTTTATTTCTAATTTTTTTTCTCCAAAGAATCTATCTAAAACGGTCTAAAATGCAATCAGCCTAGCTACCCGTTCTTCAGTTATTGATATATATTTTCCCGTCACAGTAAGAAGTAGCTACCCCGAGGTTCAGAGGGCTCGGGAGTCTCGACTGTCTACTCTCAACACACCTCTCAACCTATAGTACTGGGAAACGACACAGGGTGCATTCCCAGAGATTTAGATCGATCCAGAGGTTTAGATTTAGATGGACCTAACTCCCTAGGAGTTCACGCCAAATTGCAGTCAGCCGAGCGTGCACCATAGTTAATTACCCCCTTAGAGCTTTTAGGCGGGACAGACGCTTAAGCCGGCTAATCAAGCTGACAGTAATCTAGTGAGACTCCCACAGGGATAGATCGATCTAAAATCTATGGGAATGCGCCCTTAGGGTGCATTCATTATGTATCTATCGTACTAATTACTGCACACTTATTCCACGGAAACTCCTGGTGAATGCAATCAGATTAATAGCCTAACATGCCTCCTTTTGTTTCCCATGTTCTCGTACATGTATTTCTATATTTTACACAACACCAGATGGAAAAGTGTTAGTCTGTTAATCTGATTGTATTTAGCGAAATTTTCCCCGAGTTATTGCGCTGTAGCTGGTACAAATGTACAATAGTTTCTTTGTGGACGCAGCCTCTCTTCTACCGTGTGGAATTGCTTGGTGATTCGAATTTTTAAAAAATGGTTAAACTGTTATTCGATTTTTTCAAACTTTATTTTAAGAGGGGTAAACATGTTAAACGCAAGCTATCTTCCACATGGCCCTCTGTGAAAATGCCCAGTTTTCACCAGTTCTGTTTTTCAGCTCTCATTGCAAAAATGAAGAATGGATCAACAAAAATAATTTGGAAGACTGTCAGAAAATATGTCTGAATCCGCCCCTGTCATACAATACTTCACAGCTATGTATGCCAATGCTGATCACAAGGCACTTGTAATGACACCTTCCTTTGAAACATGTCAATATAACAATATCAACACGTAACAGAACATCTCATATGTGTAAACAAAACTGATTGCACAGTGTGACTGTCTACTATGAAACTACATGGTGCACTGCCCAAACACCCTCCTTTAATGGGAAGATGACGGACAGATGACAATTTTGATATGATAATATGCGTCCTTTGACACACCACGCTAATGTGGGGAGGAATTTTAACGAGACGATGAGTGTCATGTGCGTCTTGAGCACGGGAGAAAATGAAGACATGGACAAAATTACGATACTGTGTCCAAGATGAAGATAAATGGAGTCATGCACAAATAACTTAAAACTGAATATTTTGACCCACCTAAGTTGAGAATAAATCTGCCGTAGATTCTCAAAATAAAGTAACTGTTCGCAGGGGCGGATCCAGAGATATTTTTTCGACATCTTCCATATTATCTTTGTTGGCCCATTCTCCACTGCGAACCCCCCCGCCGGACCTGCACGACGTCACAAAAATGCCGTATCTAACATTTGTAACATTAGCCGTTCCTTCCTTTTAGAGGGCAGGCATATAATTTTATATAAGTAGACTAGTTCTCAATTACCGTGGGTAAAATCAGAGTAATATGTGGTCTTATGCCGACTCCCTTTGTGAAATCAGCCGTAAATTTCATGCCCGCCATCATTATAGGGAAACATAGCGAACATTTTCTCACTGTCAAAAGTGGCAAACAGCAATCACCGAAGTTAATTATGCGACCGCCGTGTCATCTATTCAATCATTGAAGTGTACATCCCCCAAACATTCAAATGATTGAAAAGATAAGATTATATATCACTTGTTACGTCTGGTCAATCCAGAAAAAGAGAAGTATTGGTGGACATATCAGAACTAAGGGGGGGGGGGGGGTGCCAAACTCTTTCCTTTTTACAAAAAAGGTCAATATTTAAAACAGAAGGATCTTCGGTTTCATTATGAAAGTTTTATGCATAGTATGATGTTTCAATATTTTTTATGATTATGACGAGTTTAAGAATAAAAAATCAGAAGCACAACGCCTTCGTAAGCATAACCTTGAACCGGTTTACAGAAAATTTTGAAATTTTCGAGCCAAAATTTTAGTCTACCTGGAACTAAAAAAATTAAGTGATATCCCACTTAGATAAAAAAAAATAGTGAGCTTGTTTTATTAACAATAAAGAAAGGGGTTTGATAAAGCCGGCATTTTCTTTAGGGGTACTACTGTCAATATATCGTGAATGTAAGACCAGATTTTGGTTTAAAGTAAACATTAACCCTCCATCTTAAGTTTTTAGTGAAGCCGATCCCTCATTTCAAATAACTAAACATAAATAACTAAGATTTTAAATTAATCAATTAGCTAGATAAATTAATAAATAAGTACATGTACATTAATAGACATTTAATATTGGATTCTGAAAAAAAAAAAAACTTACATCGTTCAGATTTCACCTCTCTTTCAGACGCTCTTACGATACTCAGTTTTAATTCGTCATTATTTTCTTTATTCCCTGACTGCGTTAATACCTGCCTAGGAGACGGTCACTAAGATATTGTTTCAACTTTGAACTTCACAGCACCTTCCAGACATTCTTCACTCATTGTAAAAACTCTTGAAATGGAAGTTATTGGCAATGTGACACTGAAGATACATGTACATGTATCAACTTACCAGACAAGTACGGAAACGCTTACTTCTATGTTAGTCCTCTTCTGAGACAAATGAGAATATTAGATACCGACCCATCTGCAACGTGCACTATATACTCTCTGTGCAAAAAATAGACCCAGCTTCATATTAATGAGCTCTGTGTGTAATTGGTGTGCGGACAGCGTGACTGACCAGGGGTCATCGCAGATAGGTGTGATAACACAGAAAATCTGCCAGGCATCAACGCGACCCTGTTTTTGGTGATTAAAAAGATATATTATTCATATTTCTATTATTATTTCACGAGACAGCGTGGCAAGAAAATTTTGAAATAACGCAAGGCTAAATATAAGGGAATAAGTAAGCAGCCTTTCTTGTGGCGAGCGTTGATGTTAGAAAAATTGCAGCGTTGACCAGTGGCCGAGGCCCATTTGTGGTCACTGACTTGGCTGAGGCCCATTTGTGGTCACTGACTTGGAGCGGTGTTATTTGATGTCCTGATTACACAGAGCGAACTGGACACAACTTGGAATGTGACCCGACGCGCACAATAGTTGGAAGCGACGCTACCAGTGTCAGGAGTTTTTTGCACACATTTTTCGAGCAAGTCCCAGTCGGCACAATCTCAAGTCAATTGCTGGTTTCAGATCTAATTCTATTTTTTATACTTTTTTGACACAATATGCTGCAGCAGTAGTAGTAAAAAAAAATCTGCGCTTTTTTGATAAGAACGCAAGAAATGCCAGACCTTTCAGTATGCTTGATGTTTTATAAAAGACGACTACAAATGTTCCTGTTTCTGAAATTGGCCACTTTCCTGGGACGCATAATCTAAAAGACAAATCCAACTAGCGCAAATGCTTGCGCGGAGCTTATGTCGTAACTTCCTTGTATTGGGTAAAGATTAACGGGGCGATATCGGATGTGTTAGTTGAGGTGCTGTCAGATGTGGTAGTTGATCCTGTGATTCTCTACAAGGATTGCAGTCTTTGCTCTCCGCTAACGCACCTCAGTTTGCTCCGTAAATAAACCCAAGGTCCTGTGTCTTGTACGAGATAGAGTGTCCACTGTGATACACAGAGCGTTCCCAAAATTTTGTACAGGGAAACGTTTCAGACATTGACCCACTTACGCCACGTTGACCCCAACCGTTATGGATCTGATGCTGGAAGGACTCTCTTACATGGACCTCCATGTACAAGATTTAACTCGCGGCTAAAATGGTCTCGGCTTGCAAAATGTTAGAAGAAGCAGGTAAAAACTGAATAAACTAACCCGTTCTCCCAAATCATCAGTAGTTATTTTCTGACATTTCGATTTCTCACAACCTAAACATATTTTAATACAATATCGCATCATTAAATCCAGCAGACACGCCCCGATGAAAACCGGTGAAGTAACGGACAAAGTTTTTAAAGGAGGCCGGTCCCGTGGGTTGCGTGGGTGGGTGTTGGCCAAATTTGTTTTTCAGGCTGTCACAGCGCCGGCGTGACAGGAATGGTAGTCTATTAGGAACCGTAGTCCGCTTCCCATTACTTTGTACGGGTGACTTATTTCGTCTAATATACTAACCCCAATACCCCGGCTAACTCTAACCTGTACTCATATATGGGGCCACGAAATTTCATTCCCAGGACTATCATTCCTGTCGCACCTGTTTAAAATACCTGTCAGGCCAGCACTAATACTAGTTACACGTAAACGCCGTTGTTTAGAGGGCCAATGTTGATACGCTTGTAAATTGGTTCACCTTTCGCTAAAAATATCTGTCCCGAGATCGGCGATACCGTCGTGGACGTCATCAGGTCATTTATATCAGTTATTTACGTGTGAGCCTATTGAGTCCACATAAAATTAGTTTTTTTATTTGTGTTATTCTTTTATTTGCCTTAGGTACTTAAAAAGGTTTTTTCCTCGTTAAACGCAGTAAATACTGATAAGAAATATCCCATATACTAGTACTGCTTTTTTCGCATTGAGTCACCTACACATGTTACATGTTACACATGTTTCTCCGTAAGAACTGAATCCCAATGAAATTATCGTTCTACGAAAATCGATCTAACTCCGCGGGGACTGTCGCTGAATGCAATCGGGTTAGCAGATTAACACACCTCCTCTTGTTTCCAATCTACTCGTATTATCACCAGCTTTTTTGTATTCTACTCAACACTAGGAGGAGGCGTGTTGATCTGTTAATATGATTGCATTCAGCGAGAGTCCCCGCGGAGTTGGATCGATCTACGTAGACCGATTGTTTCATTGGGAATGGACCCTAATACTTGATATGAAACGGCTAGAAACGCACTCAAACGAACTAGTAAAGTAAATTTTAAAGATTTATTTACCTCGTTAAAATGGAAATAAGCCCATTTATTTTGGAAGCGATGAGTGCACTGATAAGTGCTAGTGCTTTGAAATTAGTTCATGTCAGAATCTTAATGATCGGCGAATTCTAGAATATAAAATCTAAGTATTAAACTTAAAAATGCATTCTGAAACCAATGAAAAGGATTCGATACGTCGGTATTATCCAGAGTGCCTGTTGACTATTTTAATCTACCATATAAAATGCAACCACGCTTGTTTTTATTGAACAATACAAAAAGAAAAATTAATTTTTAAGAAATAAAATAAAGCAAAGTAATGTTCCTCTCCACATTTTGTTTTGTGAATTGGGTTTGTTATTGCACATTTAGGCTCATCTCTTATAACGTCTTGCAAAGAAAGACGGACATAGGTTATATTCTCATCATTTAATAATAAAATATTTTGATAACGGCACTGAGCAAGCTAAGTTCAGATTTTTATTAACCCCTCCACAGATTTTTTCCTACATATTGGCCTTCTGACTGATGCAGACCAGCATATTTTCTACAACCATTTCCGCGTTTTTCAGTCCACATACCTGGGTTTTATTTCCCTCGTGCATGCACATTCGTTATTACTGATTGTTGACATGTTATCTTTTCATTTCAAATCACCACTGCGGTGCCTTTCTTGTCATGAAAATGCCACAGCCGTAACAGTTTATTCAACTCCGACACGCTCACGATACTTTTTCATCGTTTTAATACGCCGACAGCACTAATACATATAACTGAGCTTAAAATATCTGAAGATGAATTTCGAATAAAAAAGAAAAACGTCTACATGTTCCTGATGTAAAGAAAACATCACCAGCACTAGCATTTGGGTAACCTTTTATTTAGACCTAAAGGTATATGAAAACGACGCCTCGATGTTGCTAGTGCCATAATTCCTCTAACGATGTTCATAGTAACAGAGGGGAAAACATATGAAATCATATTAATATTACAAATAAACATTATGCTTTTTTTTTTTTTTTTCAAAAACCATTACGCGCTTCATGCACTTCTCTTTGCCTTTAAAATTTTCGCTCGTGAAACATTATTAAAATGCTTACCTTGAAAATATGTCGTACAGCAATATCCTTATAATGGATTTGCGTCCGGTTCAACCAACTTAGAAGTTGTTTTGTATTTGTTTAAAATGACACACCATTAAGGGGAGGGCTATTCGGTCACGTGGGGTGCGTCACTTTTCCGTATAGGTGAACTACACAGGTCACTGACGAGTGTTTAAGAATTTAATACATTTTGTTATTTTTAAGGTAATAAAAATAATGACATGGATAATAATAAAACATGAAAATAAACAACAGGATCTTTCTATCTTTTCCACACAGAAATGTTATCTGGCACGGAAAGAAGAAATAGGGATCTTTTTGAAATAGCATTAGTTAGATAAATGTCACAATTTTTTGGCAACAACGGTAGCGCATCCTGACAACATCCTCTGTCCGTTAGGGTCAAGTTATACGTTATAGGGGCACTGGGCGTCTCGTATCTGACTCGCTATGCGATAAGTATGCTTATTATAAATAAATAAATAAATGTTTAATACTGGTTTTGGCTTGTCATGAAGATAAGCTTGTTTATTCGTTGTATTCACTTATTTAAACTTCTATACAATCTATCGGCACTTCAAGTTTTCTATACGTCAC